ATTAAACCTTAAAAAGAATCCCAAAAAATTATTAAAATTCATTATAAATATTGTCTTTTAGGAATCCAATAAGAAATAGGAGTACTCCATTAAGAATTTTTATTTTTTTTGCATGAATATGCGAATATTAATATGTTATTTTCCTGCATGAATTACTGTTTACTGTTTAATTTACATCACAAAAAAGGATAAACATAGAATTATCATGGATTAAGTACATCATCATACATACAATATAATAAAGCATACAATTCAACAAAAAAATTTACAATAATATAGTCATCCATAATACCACTACACATACATTTGGCACAAAAAATATTTACAATGCCACAAATAATATTTACAATGATACAGTGGGCACAATCCCAACTCAATTAAAATGACACAAATAGTCGTGCATCTCGCTTACAAAAATGCAAGATAATCTAATAAAAAAATGCAAGCTCCAAACATGCCTACAACTCAATTATCAAGAATATATATACAATTTATGTATCAACATACATTTTTTTGCATTAAAGTTTTATTAATAAAATTGAAAAATGCAAGATAATATAATTATCATACATGCCACGATTTTTTTACAATGATATTCATGCAGTTAATACCAAAAATATACATACATGTCACAAATAATATTTACAATGATATAGTCATTCAAGATAATATAATGATAAAATATTTATCAATCATATACATACATTTTATGCAATAAAATTAAAAAATACAGTTTTGCATTGAAAATTTAAAACAAGTATTTTTTTGCATCAATTATCTATCAACATGCAATTTTTTGCACTAAAAATTTAACAATAAAAATAAAAAATACAGTTTAATTCCTCATTATAATCAAAACCTGGTCACGATTTTCACAATTTTTCAAAAAAATCATTCAATCAAAAAACGCAACGACAACTCTTCTTCATTCGAAATTGTGTAATAAAAATTGCTTAATCCGACAAATTACACCCAAAATTAATTGAATAACATATTACATTAAAAAATCCTCTAAAATAATTCATAATAGTACTTTAATTCATCTCATATTTGAAGTTTGGCAAAAAAAAAAAACCCTAACTGTTTTTCACAAAACCGTGACTCAAAATCGAAAATCCACTACAAATCCACCAAAATCAACACAAAAGGTGTACAATTTCTGATGCATAACACAATCACGACTAATTTTCTCTTATTTCATACAAAATAGTGATTTATTTCATCTGTAATTCAAAGAATGGCGGGAAAAAAAAAAGCAGAAAAAACACAGACCCAACATGACATCAGTCATTTGAACTCGAAAATCCACCTCAAATTGAACAAATTAGATCTAATTTAATATATTTTATGAAATAACACTATAAGGAATCAAAACCCTATAATATTAATAAATTATTTGCAAAAACTTGAATATAATAGATTGGATGGCGGAAAACCGAACTTCTTACCAGTTTTTCTACAACCGTGGCTTCAAATCCAAATCTGAGTTGTAATGGACCAAAATACTCCCAAGGTATAATTAATTTCTTCTAAATAACACTCTTAATATCAATAACCCTCATATTTTAGAAAAAATGATGTCCTATTTTGCTTGAAATCAAAGAAATGGTGGAAACCTTAAAAAAACGCGTTGTTCTTCATAATTCCACCGATTTGTTATAGAAATTGAAGATTTCAACTCCAATTTATCGAGTGATAAGGCTGAAAAGCTAAATAAAAACGCTGAAATATTCAATTCACATGCTGAAAAAGTACAACAATTATCAAAAAAAATGCCAAAATTTGATGATTCCCATCGTAAAACACTGTTCGCCCGTGTTTGAACAGTGACTCATGCGATTTACGTTGGGAATCGCCCGGTTCTCTCTAGACACGGGCGATTCCCCGTGTTTTGCTGAAACTGGCTCTGGTGTAACGATTCCCAAATCAAACTGGGCAAGTCCAGTTCATAGGTTTTAAAAATCAGTGTTCATAGGTTTTGATGGTCTGATGTCGTTTGGGTGTATTTTTGGAAATCATATCCTGGATATCCACATCTTCAAAACCTCTCATATCCTGCATTTGCTCATTAAAAAAAAATCAAAATAAGCAAATCCAAGGTTTTGGAAAAGCTTGCTTTTGCATTGGGGCCCGTGTCTCCTCGCCTTTTTCTTTTCACTCCTCATAATAATAATATTATTATATAATTATAAAATTTATATGTACTACTACTTCTATTGTTATTATTTTTATTTAAAATATTTATTATTGAAATAGTGATCATTTAAATATATTTTTATTATAACATGTTGTTATTATCTTAATTATTAATATCATATTATATTATTATTATTAAATATTTGTAGTTTAATAGCAATAAAAGAAATTATATGATTATATAATTATGAATTTCTTTCTTAAACTCTCAACTGCATTATCTATAAGCTCCTTTTATCTACAATGTTCTCATTTTTTAACATGTGTCCAAGTGTCGATACAAACAAAAAAACAGAAAAAGGATTAGTGGTTGGAATTGTTCTTGTCAGTACAGCCTCTCCTTGCATTACTTCTTTTATTCAAATCAGGCCAGGGCAGAGAAACAGAGAGTAGTGATATTGAGTGGTCTTCCCTCCCATATGGGTGCGAGGAAAAGAAACTCTAGAGCCATCTCTTAGAAAAGAGGGGGAAGAAACTCCAGGTGCATATATTTGTCTACTTTAAAAATGATTTTGACAACCAATGAAGCAACTGTGCTATAAATATTTCACAGGTATTATCATGATCGTATTGAAATTGAGAAATATTACAGTCTTTTCAGATTTCTCTTTGCTAATGTCCCAAACCTTTCCATAACAACTAACACTTTACAAGCAAGTAATAGAAGAACTACTGATAATAACTGCATACATTTATATATCTCGAAGCTTGCTACTTCACACTACATTTGATCTCCTCTACTTCCACAAGAACAGAGTCCGTTCTTGAAATAATGGAAACCAAAGTTATCCTTCAGCACTATATTCCTTCCACTTACCAGTGAAACAGCCTTGAGAAGATCATGAGAATCCTCAGATAAGCAGGTCCTTTTAAAAACTCTAATGGTTTGCCTTTTGGAATCATTTGTAATAAGCCCATATGCAACTGCCAGTTCCTCGATGTGTTGCTCCACTAACTTCTCAAACTCCTTACTATCACTATCCCCTCTTATAATTTCTTGGCCTAGCTTGGGTCTAACTCGAAAACCTCTTCTCTCTAACATGAAGCTCAGTTCGTCCAGTTTCGTTAATATTTCATCAATTCTCGGATGCTCCATCACCCCATCAATAGAAAAACCAAGCAGACTGTTATCCACAACCAGAGAGCTCTCTGCCCTCTTCAATTGTGTCAACATTTCCTCCATCTCCATGCCACAATTCTTCAATTCCTCATTTTCACTCTCCATCTCATGAATATTCAGGGCTGCAAAGGTTGCTAAGTCAGCTTCACCATGGGCTTTGCACGCATCAAGCAGAGGGCACCACACCATGGCATTAGCTAGAATTGGCATCTGATAAATGAATAACTCAGCATCACATAACCGTCCTAATTGCCCTAACAAGCCTACAATGCAAGCATAGTGAAGTGGGTGGGGCTAATTTTGCAAGTTCTCATAAGTTGTAACAACTCATGAGCTCGTTCAATGTCACCCACATGGCTAGAAGCAACAAGAAGCCCTACAAAGGTTGTCTCGTCAGGTTGAAGCCCCAACTTTTGCATCTGCTCAAATATTTGAAGGGCTTCCTTGCCATACCCACGATGTGCATAACCCATTATGGTCGCATTCCAAGAATGGATGTCTTTGTTGGGCATGCGCCGGAAGAGCCTCCATGCATCCTCAATGTTCCCACATTGAGCATACATGGTGATAAGAGCATTGGCAACTGAGACCTCGAGTTCGAGTTTCCGTTGAATAGCAAGATTGTGGATCTCTATGCCGAGTTCTATTGCTTTTGGAGATGAACAAGCATTAAGAGCATAAATAAAGCTCATTCGATTGGGTTTCAGGCCAGATAATCTTTGCATCTCTAGAAGAGCTTCAATGGCAGAATGGCTGTTGCCATTTTGTGCATATGTTTCAATCATAGAATTCCAACATGTGATATCAAGCACTTTTGCTCGATCAAATGCTTTCCTTGTCCCATCAAGACAGTTACATTTTGCATACATTCTGATCAGTGAAGTGACAATCGACTGATCCAAACTCAACCCTGACTTAACCACCAATCCATGAACCGCCATACCCATCAGCTTATTTGCTAACTGTGAACATGTATTGAGAACACTAACAAATGTGTACATATCGGGCTGAATACCCTGCACACCCATCTCAACAAATAAGGAAATGGACTCTGTTGCAAGCCCATTTTTAGAATATCCAGAGACCATGGCATTCCATGGAACACACGTACCACTCCTCATACTAGTACTACCATCAAATACCCTACGAGCCTCAAGTACCGATCCACAGTCTGCATACATAGTCAGAAGTGCACTGGTCACCACAGAATCCATGTCAAGGCCTAATTTAACAAGTTCGCAGTGAACCATCTGGCCATCAAGCATATTAGCCAACTTGCCACATGACTTCAAAGCAGTCACAAATACGGGATGGTCACGCCCAATACCTTCTCTGTGCATCTCTTTAAAAAGCTCTAATGCTACATCGGCTTCACCATTGCGGAGATAAGCCCCCATCATGATGCCCCATGAAAGAGACGCTCTGTCAGTCATTTCATCGAACACTTGGCGAGCTGATTCTAAATCCCCCAATTTTGTGTACGTATTCAGCAAAGTGTTGCCCAAACGAGCATGAAGAGGGACATGGGACGAAAGAATTTGATGGTGCAATTTTGTTGTTAAGGAGAGGTCTCCCTTGGCGATGCATTCTTGAAGGAGGTTCACGTAATTTTGGTCGGTGACCGTGGCAGAGCACGTGTTGGCCTCGCTAATGTTGGCGCTTGGGCCGAGTGCGTCGGGTGTGGCCACGAGTCGAGGGGTACACGGTCTTCCACCGCACTGGCTGGTGCGCAGTGGTGGCCGCGCGGAAGTAGAAGGGTTTGGTGCTTGGAGAGGGCAGAGATGGAAGGGCGAGCTCGATGTGATCATTGATTCGTATGACCTGGTAAATGGTGGTTCTTAAGCTTCATGAAACAGTGCACGTCTAATCTTTCTTAAGTCTCCTGCATGGATTGAGCACTTATTTTATTTTATTATTTGGAGTTATTTACGTACGAATCTTGTTAGAAAAATACGAGTTGTTCCTTTCAAGGTCAATCAATGCAATTTTTTTTTTTGACAAAATTATCACTCGGTACGAAAATGTCATCCTCGGACCTTTTTTTTATTTTTTTTTCAAAACTTAAGTTTCAGTTTAAAGTTTAAATTTTTGGACCACTTTTTTTTTTCAAAACTTAAGTTGCGATACAAAGATGCGCAATTTAAGTTTTAAAAAAAAAAAACAGTGTGAACCTTAGTTTTAACTATAAAAAAAAGTTTGAATATAGCATTTTCGGACCGAAGAATAATTTTGTCAAAAAAAAAGATATTGCGTTGATCGACTTTGATTGTAATTTTTTATTATAAAATGAGCAACTCGTATTTCTCTAATTTATTTAAGATCTTTACCTAAGCAAATTAATACCTCCCTCTACATCTATCTATAACAAAGAGAGAATGGATATCACTTGTATTGGATATGATTTGTTGAAGGAAAGGAAAGAAAAGAGGCTATTTTGTTGCTTTGTCATGGGTTACTTTATTGGATCTGAGTGTGGTTTGTATGAGGCTGTGGCTCTAAATGATAAAAGTAAGGTGCACTTTTAAAGTGTCGAAAGATGTCGTTTCAATATCAAAAAAAAATATAATGGTTGGAAAAGTTATTTTAATATCGAATTATAAAATTTAAAGTTTAAAAAACAGTGTCGATCAAGCAATCTATAAACATTTGAAAATGTTGAAAATTGATGGTCTAAATAATATGTTTTTTAAGTCCATGCATCTCAAGGTCGAGATGATCGGATTTGAGAGTTTTTCTGTATTAAAACTGACTTTTTGTAGTAATGTTTTGAGATGCGTCTTAGTTTGATTGATTAGGCCTCAACCTTGTATAACCTTTTCCTTTTCTTAAGTTGCTTGGTTGTTCACAATCATACATTTTCCATTATAAAACTAAGTAAAGAATTATAGAGAGAGAAATGAATTTTGAGAAGATAATTGTGCCCACATTGATTTCTTATGGTGGTTCTGTCATTGTATATATATAATGGTAATACAATGGTATAATGTGCACTTTCTTATCTTGTTAGATGCAATATACACTTTCATCTCCTATTTATAGGTAGCAAATCGCCATTTAATCGGCGTTTTTTCAAAAATTTGACTTTTTTATGGAAACAGTTTTAAACAGCGCTTTTTTAAAAGGTCGGCAAAAAATCATGTAGTTTTCATAAAGCCATTTAAAACGCGCTTTTTCATGGACGATTTAAATCGGGCAAAAAAATCCTATCGTTTTTACCTATATATTTTTTAAAAAGATATTTTTTTTTCCTGTTTTGTCTATTGCAGCCATTGCTACTTTCATGCTTTAAAAAAAAATTTGCTTCAAAAAAAAACTAAAATAAAAACTTTTATCCCCACTGTGTTCTTCAAAGCCACAGTTGTAGATTTATGGTATGAATTTTTTTAAAAAACTTAATCAATTTCAGTTGTCCTTTGGAAAAATTTGTAAATGAAATACTGGTTATAGCAAATCATTTTGTAAAGTAAATCATTATGTAAAGAAATCATATACATGCAAATTGCTGTGGTTATTTGTGATAATTGTTTCTATGAAAATATTGTTAGTGGCACAAATTAAAGCTCAAGATATAGTTTTTTATTGATGAATGAGAAGCAAAGAGTGTGACTACAAGACCAAGTAATCAATATTTTGTTTCTTGACTGTGTAAACTGTAACCTTACAAGAGCAAGCAATTGTACATATAGGATTAGTTCCCCAAACTTAATCCTTCTGCTCTGCTTGCTGTTTCCACAAGAAAATGAAAAGCTTTCTTCAAACTATCTCAAATCAGAGAGAAAACTCATCTTCAAACTATCCCAAATCAGCATCCCATCTTCCTTATCTCTCTCTAAAAATAGTTAGGGCATCTGCCATTAGGGTTCTTCCTTTTCTCTCTCTAAAAATCAGTTAGGGCCTTTTCCATTTGGGTTTGTGAAAACCATTTTCTTCTTCCTTCTTCTCCTCTCTATACACCCTAATGGCTGTGAGTCCCAGCCCTATTTTCTTCTCTTCTTTCTTCCTTCTTCCTTCTTCTCTCTTCTCTCTTCTTCTTTTCTTCCTTCTTCCTTCTTCTCTCTCTACATAGTAAACACAACAGTGAAACCTAAATTTCTAGGAGCCTCTTTTCAATTAAAGCAATTTATAAAACTTTAACCATAGTGACCATACCATAATTAAATCCTTGTAATGAGAACAAAAAATCGTGTATTTATTTTTTGGTACCTGCTAAGTAGGTGTGATGTTTAAGTATTTAATGAATAAATTTATAGTATATTTGTCACCATACCATATTTAAAGTATTTTAATTAATAACTTATATGGTATATTTGTTTTTGTATGTAATAAGTAGGTGTGATGTTTCTTAAAGTATTTAACGGGTAGATTTACATGGTACATTTTTTTTGGTGTATACTAGTTAATTATAGATTTAATATTGGATGATTGGATGAGAGACACGAGGGATCTAAATTAATTAACTTAATTATATTAGTCTAGTAAAGTTTTTATAGATGAATTAGTAATTGATGGCTTTGACATAATTTTTATTTTTTAGAATTTTAAAATTTCTAATATTATAAATTTATCCGATTTTTTTTTTGCCTAATCCGGTATATTAGCAATATCTTTATATGAAGTTTTTTTTTCAATCCGTATTTTTTACCCGATTTCTTCATCCGATTATTTAAAATAAAAATAATTTGTTTCTGATTTTATGGTCAGTCGATTTATTGATAGTTCCCGACTTACTAATTATGCTCTTGTTACTTTCTACAATGGCAATATTTCAATATACACTTTCCTATCTTACTGCATTACTTAAGATGTAATAACATTGCATTACTTAAGATGTAATAACATAGGGAAGGACAAGGTAATTGAGCAACAGCTATTGTAGCCCGTCAACTGAGAGTTACATTATTTCTAATTTTTTTTTATTTTTTATTTTTTTCTTTTGTTGGTCCGACTGGGATGGTTTTAACTAGGGTCGAGGAGTATAGATTGTGGCTATAGTCAGACGATGTCTAGGATAGTGTGGAAAAACTCGGACGTGCTAACTTGCTGAGGGGATTTTAACATTTTTTAAAAAACATTAAAAATAGAAAAAAAAAATAAAGAGGGCCAGGCCCTAAAGCACAAGCCGGGCTGCCTAGCCCATTGCTAGCCCTATCTGGCTTTATATCGAGAGATTACATTGCAGAGAGAGATTGTAAGAGGAGGGGGAAAAGAGAGAATTGGATTTAGAAAGAGAAGGAGAGAAAAAGAGCCGATCATCTGTTTTTGTCAAAAAAAAAAAAAACAGCCGATTATCAGGGTTTTTTTTCCACTTAAAAGAGATGGAGAGGGAGAGAGTAAAGGCAAAAAGATATTTTTAGAAGGGCATAAAAAGTTTTATCCATCATTATACGGTGTATTGAAAATTCACATAATTATTCCGTATATACAGGGAAAAAAATTTGTGTATATCAAGGTTTGAAAAAACGGATCGGCAACCCGAATTGGCCTCCCAAAATACTGTGTCAGATTAACAGATTGGAGAATCGGGCAGATTGGTGGGTCTCGACCCAAAAAAATTTCAAATAATCACTAAAAATCTCCAAAAAATAGTTCTAAAAAAATGAGAGTGATGCATTATGTACTTCCATTATTTTGTAAAAATACGTGAATACTTAGACGTATTCTTGTCCGGATGGCTATTAACAATTCACTCATATCACTGAGAAAAAGAGCTTATAATAATGGTCTAAAATAGAACTTACAACAATTAAAATACAACTTGATACCAAAATGGAACACATCGTTGTACTTCATCTTCATCGTGTTGGTACCACTGATGAATTGTCTCAGCAAATCATTGAGTCGTTTGATATATGCCTCATAATTGTCTAAACAACTTGTTATATATTCTATATAACAATAACAACTTAATACAATTTAAAATTATATTAATTGTTTATTTATCAATAAAATAAGTTTTTATAACAATAACAAATAGTTATTTGTTAATATATGTGTATATTTAATGTGTTGTTTTAATGTTTCATAACAATACAAATTTCAATATAGCAATACTAATTTTAACATAATTATAATAAATAAGTTAATAATTTTTACATACTTATATTCATTCAACATAATAATATTAACATAATTTTAATGAAATCATATTCATATGATTACATTGACATAAGTTTAACAAGTTATTAAGATAAAAAACAATAATAATTTCAATATAATTATACTATTTTTTGTAAATTAATTATATAATATTTTTATTATTATATGTAATTAAAACTTAACTATATGTAACTTCTATATTTGGTAACTTATAAAAAGAAAATGAATATTATTAATCTAAAAAAGAAAAATTATTTCATTTTATAGACAATTTCATTTTTGTAGACAAACTTGCCCTTGTATAAGCGCGAGAGAGAGAAAGAGAGAGATGTTAATGGAAATATAGAAGCAAGAGAGAGAGACAGAATCAATGGAAATATAGATATGTAAATCTCTAACTTTGAAGTAGAAGTTGCAGATATCCTACATTAGAGGATCGTGGTAGAAAATACCACCATAAAAGGTGTGAACCCATATCACTAATAAAAGGTGTTGCTCATGAGGTAAGTGTGATGATATGTGTAAAACCCTATCGCTCATGTGGTAAGCGTGAAGACAAGCGGCTTATGTAAGTGAAGTTGGTGTGCCCCATCACAATACTTTTTATTGGAAAATTATTGAAAAAATCAGGTTCATTAGGAACCAATCAGTTCTCTCTTCAGTTCTTTGGCAAAGAACTGGTATGGCCCTGCTCGAACTAGCCAGTTCTGGG